GACTTACACTATTTGATCTCAAGATTTAATATAATGGTGGATTTTCTGGTGTATAGATTATATATCAATGAATAAATGATAAAATAGAGGGTTTAGATTAGTATTTTTCCTGTGACTTAGTAAGTCTAAAACAAAAGTGCCTAGTGCGCAATCCAAATGGTCATTGAATAGGTTGAAAAAAAAATAGCATAAAATCAAAGTAATTGGGATAATGTGGTATGCATGTGAGTCAGTGGTTCTCAACCAGATCCAGTTTTGCACCCCAGGAAATACTTGACAAAGTCTAACCACATTTTGGAGAGCTCACTGGCTCTACAAGTTTAGCACTGGACTGCAACATACAAGGTATGTGGTTTGGGACCACCAGCCGCTCCCTATGAGAAAGCTAAGGCTTTCTGATCCCACAAAGATTTAATGTCTCTGTAACCCAATACAGGGTTGCTGGGAGTTGGAAGGAGCTCTATGGCACTTAACAGCAACAAAGACAAGGTTTTGTTTGTCATGATTGGTGCATAGGGCTTGGTACTGTTAACAACAGAGTAGAGGCTAGGCTGTTACTAAACATCCTGAAATATACTTCCTTTCCTATTACCCTCCCAAAGCAAAGAAACAAGCTTCCAAACTATGAATAATGTGCCTTTTGAGATATCATGACATATGGATAGACATATAAATTGATGGGATAAATTAGAATGACTGAAATATACAAATAGTTTAAGTTAATCTATTTTTAAGAAAATCACCAAAGTAGTTCAGTGGAGAAAATACAATTCTTTCAATACATGGTGCAGATGTAACCTGAAGCCATGTGAAAAAAAAGAAAAGAAAAGAAAAGATTCCAACTCTAGGCATGGATAATACACAAACATTAAATCAAAATGCCATCTAGAACTAAATTTAAAAGCTGAAACTGAAAAACTTCTAAAATATGTTATTGTTGTTGTTAAGTTCTTTCAAGTCAGTTCTGACTCACAGAGACCCTGTATAGGGTTTCCGAGGAGCAGCTGGTGAGTTTGAACCGCCAACCTTGCAGTTCCAACTGACCTTGCAGTCAGTCCAGCACATTATCCTGCAGGACTTATTAGATAGGACAAAAAAAAATCGGATTCATGCTACTAGGATACATTGGATATAGATAAAGTTATTAGATAAATAAGAAATTCTGTTCTTTAAGAGATGCTATTAAGAATATGAATAGATAAGACACATGCTTAAAAATTCACATTGGGAGGAAATATTTGTAAGACAAATATTTAACCAAGGTCCTATATTTAGAATACATGAAAAAACTTTACAACTCCATAGGAGATGATTTGCAATCCACCACTAACTAGACCAAAGAGCTGAATGGACATTCATACAAAAAGACGTATTAATGACAATATGCATATAAAAGACAAATTGTTGTTGTTAGTGCTGTTGATTCAGCTCCAAATCATAGCAACCTGTATAGGGATCCCAAGGAGCCACTGATGGGTTTGAACCACAGACCTTAAAGACAGTAAGTACATACCAATAATATTTAAATCTATCAGTAATCACAATAAATATAAATAATTAAGTTGTTACATAAACATTGGAAGATGGATGAAAACATGAAATGCTATCTTTTTCAAAGAAACACATATAAAACATCAGGATAGGTTTTTAAATAATGGTATAGAAAAAGATAAAACAGTCATGTATTAGAGAATACTAATGTTTTTATCTGGGTATAAGCTTAAATGGCACCCCATTAGAAGGGCCTTAATTGCCCATCAATCTAAGAGTGTTAGTCCTTCTCTTGGGTATCTTTTAGCAAGCAATTTCCCCCCTATAAAACATAGAGGTATATGAAAGTATCCTTTCCATTTACTTGCTTATGATCTGTCTCCTTTGTCTAGAAAACATCTGTCATGAAAACACGTTCTTTTTCTGTCTTGTTTTTATTGCTCTATTTCTGTCACCTGCACCAATGAGACATCCCATATGAATATATAGTTGCTGAATTAATTGACTGCATTGTTGTTGTTAGGTGTCATTGAGTCTATACCACTCATAACGACCCTATGCACAACAAAACAAAACACTGCCCGGTCCTGCACCAACCGCACAGTCATTGCTACATTTGAGCCCATTGCTGCTGCCACTGAGCCAATCCATCTCATTGGGGGTCTTCCACTTTTTCTCTGGTCCTCCAGGGACTGGTATCTCCTGACAGTGTCCGAAGTATGAGGGATGTCTGGCCATCCTGGCTTCCAAGGAGCACTCTGGCTGTACTTCTTCCAATGCAGATCTGTTTGTTCTTTTGGTAGTTGTTGGTACTTTCAATATTCTCCAACACGATAATTCAAATGCATCAATACTTCTGCGGTCTTCCTTATTCATGACCCAACATTTGCATGCATATGAGGTTATTGAAAATACCATGGCTTGGGTAAATTGCACCTTAGTCCTCAAACTAACATATTTGCCTTCAACATTTTAACTAATTCTTGTGCAGCAGATTTGCACAACACAATACGTTGTTTGATTTCTTGGCTGCTGTTTCCATGAGTGTTGATAGCTGATCCAAGCAAAATGAAGTCTTTGAAACTTGAAACTTTTGTCCATTCATATGGATGTGATTAATTGGTCCAGTCGTGACAATTTTTTTTTTTTTTATGTTGAAATCCAATCCATACCGAAGGCTATGATCTTTGATCTTCATCTGTAAGCATTTTGATTCCTCTTTGATTTCAGCAAGCAAGGTTGTAACATCTGCATATTGTAGGTTGTTAATAAATCTTCTTCCAATCCTGATGCCATGTTTTTCTTCATATAATTCAGCTCCTAGGATTATTTGCTTAGCATACAATTAGCATATGGATTGAATAGTATGGTGAAAGAATACAACCAGGTGCACACCTTTTCTAATTTTAAACCATTAAGGTTTTCTGTTTGAACAACTGCCTCTTGGGCTATGTACAGGTTCTTCATGAGCACAATTAAGTGTTATGGAATACTAATTCTTCACAATGTTGTCCATAGATTGTCATGTTTCACAACTTGAAAGCCTTTGCATAGTCAATAAAGCACAGGTAAACATCTTTCTGGTATTCTCTGCTTTCAGACAAGATCCATCTGATGTGAGCAATTATATTCCTCATTCCATGTCCTCTTCTGAATCTGGTTTGAACCTCTGAAAGTTATATGTCAATATATGGTTGCAGCCATTTTTGGATCATTGTTTGTAAAACTTTACTCACATGGGAATCAGTTTTACTGTCCGATGATTTCAGCATTCAGTTGGATTACCTCTCTTTGAAATGGAAACAAATATGGATCTCTTCCTGTCAGTTTGGCCCAGTAGTTGTCTTCCAAATTTCTAGGCATAGATGAGTGAGTGTCTCCAGTGCCACATCAATTTGTTGAATGATTTCAATCTGTGTTCTATCTATTTTTGATGCCTTGTTCTTTGCCTTCAAAGTACCTTAGACTTTTTCCTTCAGGATCATTGGCTATTAATCATATGCTACCTTTTGAAATTGGTGAACCTTGAGTATTTCTTTTTATTACAAGGATGGACTCTGTATTCCTTCCATCTTCTTTTGATGTTTTCTGCATCATTTAATATTTTACACATATTGTTGCTGTTGTTGTAAAGTGCCATTGAGTCGGTTCCAAGCTATGGCGACCCTGTATAAGGTTTCCAAGGAGCAACTGGAGAGCTTGAACTGCTGACCATGCAGATCAACAACTTTGTAGTCCAGCATATTAACCCACAGAGCCTCACCATTACCTCATTTTGCCCATAGAATCCTTCAACATTTCTAATGTCCCTTTCCACATATGTAGTCAATTTGATTTCTGTGTTTTCCATATGGTGAGTTCCATGTGTATAGTCATCTTTATGTTGTTAAAACAGCTATTTGCAATGAAGAAGTCATTGGTCTTACAAATTTCTATCATGCTATCTCCAGCATCCTTTCTATCACCACTGCCATATTTTCCAACTACTGATGCATCCCCTTTGTCCAACCTTTGCATTACATTTGCCAGTAATTAGCAATACATCTTGAGTGCATGTTTGATCAATTGCAGACTGAAGAACTTGCTGGAATTCTTCTATTTCATCATTGCTGGCTTTAGTGATTTATGCATAAATGTGAATTAATAGTGGTATTAATCAGTCTTTTTTGTAGGTGTATGGATATTATCCTATCACAGACAGTGTTGTGCCTCAAGACAGATCTTGATATGTTCTTTTTGTTGATCAATGTAATGCCATTTCTCTTCAATTTGCCTTCTCAGCATAGTAAGCCATGTGATTATCAGATTCAAAAGGCCAATACCAGTACATTTCAGCTCACTGATGCCTAGGTTACCAATGTTTACATATCCCATTTCATTTTCAACAATTTCCCATTTTTCTAGATTAATACTTCATAAATTCCATATTCTGGCTATTAATGGATGTTTATAGCTATTTCTCTTCATTTTGAGTTGTGCCCCATTAGCAAATGAAGGTCCCGCAGGCTTTACTCCATTCACATCATCATGGTCAACTCTACTTTGGGGAGGTAGCTCTTCCCCAGTTACATTTTGAGGGCCTTCTAATCTGAGGGACTCATCTAACAGCACTATATCTGACAATATTCCGGTGTTCTTCATGATGTTTCAATATTCAGTATTCTGGTGCTTATAGTTTTCCACTGCTATTCATAAGGTTTTTAGTGACTAAACATTTGGAAGTAGTCCGTCTCTCCTTCTTCCTAATCAGTCTTCATCTGGAAGCTCATCTGAAACCTGTCCACCATGGGTGACCCTGCTGTATTTAAAATACCCGTGACATAACTTCCAGAATCACAGTAACATACAAGCCACCATAGTATGACAAACTGACAGATGAGAGGTAAATTATTTAATATTAATCAAGTTACATTTTAGGGAATAATATAGAGAACTTAAGAAAAAAATTAAATATGCATACACATATACATGTATATATTTTTAATTTTTTCAAAAATTTTACTATTTACCTTTCCAAAAATGCTTAATCTTTTGGAGTCAATGTATGTCTGTTTCAGTAAAAATCTGCAATAACAGAAAATATAAGTTATATCTTCTTGAGACAAATACACAATGAACTTCATTCTTAGCTTTAAAAAAATGGAATAAAATGACCAAGAAAATAATTTGCCAGTTGTCTCTCTATTCAAGGAGAAGGACCATATATTCCAAAATATAGTTACTCAAAGTAGTGGTCTTGTAGAGGAGATTGTTTTAAATGCAGAATCTTGGGCCAATTTTAAATTGTCATCTGCTTTTTAACCAGATGCCAGGTTTTCTAAGGCTCTCTTTCATACCACAATGGTAATGGTATCTGTACTAAAGAACTGCAATTACCTGATGAAATTCCGTTTCCATAAATAGCCATTGTAGTAGATTATTGTAAGCAAATAACTTAGTGGTATACTTCCAGACATATGATAATTTCATTATAGTTCTAAAGGTGGTATGTACTTGGAAAAATGAAACATACTACATGATTAGCTTATAACATTTTCCAATCACTAGTCATAATAGAAGGAGCTCTGGTAGCATAGTGGGTAAGAGTCGTGCTGCTAATCTCATGTTTAGCAGTTCGAAACTACCAGCGGTACTGTGGGAGTAGGATGAGGCTTTCTGTTCCCATAAAAATTTGCAGCCTTGGAAAATCCTATACACGGTCACTGTGAGTTGCAACCAACTCCACAAAATATAACCACACCACTAGTCACATTATATGCCTGGATTCGTCACTGTACAAAAAGCAATAGGAAAATGTGCACCCACTTACTTCACAGCTGTTATTTGGTCCTTTACTTCCACTGAACCTATCCTTCGATGAATCTCTTGCAAAATTTTTAGCCCCTGGAATCCACTTCCTCGTCCATCAAATCTTGCTACAATAACATTATCAGAGTCAACAAGTACTGAATCCCAGTCAATGTGGAATTTATCTGTGACCAGCTGGCCTCCTGGCTCTTCATCTCTGAAAATTACAACACAATGGGCCAAAGGAAAACCAATTGACAATCCAGTAATTATTTTAACTTTTAGGCAAATTAGTTAACAAAAATTATAGGAAATAACTCAGTCAAATATATGTTGGCTATGACATTTTCTGTCCGTTTTTGATAATAAACTTGAAAGGGTAAATGTCATTTTCTTTTGACCAATTTTAAATAAAAGTTCCTTGAGATAGAAACATGAAACATGATCTAATCCAGTGCTGGAAAGATGTGATTATCTCATTTTTCAAAGGAGAATATTGAAAGAAAATACATGCACTTTCTATAGACATCTAAAAATAATTCACAAAGTGACAGACAGCCCTATCTTTGTTGGATTTCATCCAAACAATGCATTTAAGCAATGTTCTGTAGATAGTATACAGAGGCCAATGGGTTGTATTGAGAGTAGAACCAATTCTAGGGACTTTATAATTATATACAGGAAATATACAGGTTTAAAGGATGTTAGACACAAAGAGAAAATTTGCATTAATATTTACTAAATTGGGGGGAAGGATTCTACTAAGGATAATTTAAATAAATAGAAAAATATTTTCCTCATCAAAAATGACAGTATGAAAAGGAAGCAGGCACATATATTCATATATTTGGAAACTGTAAAGCTAGAAGTACAAGGCATACAAATCAAAAGGAAATACCATCGTTATGGAGAGTAGCATGGTGTTTCCCCAAAAAGCTAAAAATAGAAAGATCATATGATCCAGCAGTCCAACTTCAAGGTAGATACCCTAGAGATCTTAACAACAGCGATACAGACATTCACTGCAGCAGTTTTCACAGTAGTAAAAAGATGGAAACAAATGTAGTGGCCCTCCATGGATAGATGAATAACCAAAATGTTGTACATATCTTACAATGGACTGTTCACCAGTTATAAATCATAAAACTTAGTCCCTAAATATATAATGTTAATACTCTGGAGGCCATTATGCTGATAAATAATTCAATCAGAAAAGGACAACTCTATTTTAATTGCACTTAAAAAAAAAACAACAAGACTAGGTATACACACAGACACCAGTGTTCCTTGTTGATTACCACGGATGAGCAGGAGAAAGAAGGGAAATCACTTTCTAGATAATGTTGTTGTTGCTAAGTAACACTGAGTCAGTTCTGACTCATAGCTAACCTTCATTGGGTTTCCAAGGAACAGCTGGTGAGTTTAAACCACTGATCTTGTGGTTCAAACTGACTTTGTGATCCAGTGCTTTATCCCACAGTACCACACCAGGATTCTTTCTAGATAATGTTGCTGTTGTTAAGTGCTGTCAAGTCAGTTCTGGCTCATAGTGACCCTGAATAGGGTTTTCAAGGAGCATCTGGTGGATTTGAACTGCCAACCTCGTGGTTCATAGTCCATTGCATATCCACAGCACCCGACAAGAAGTCCTTCTCCATAATAGACACTTGTAATTTTTGGTTATCGGAAAGACAATAACAAATATTTACCAATAATAACAGTAAGAAGTACATAAGAATAAGGGACTTTTTTTTTTTTTTTTTTTAATTTTTATTTTGAATTGAGTGATGGTTTAGAGAGGCCATCAATTTTACATTCAGCAAATCATATGCTTTGTTTCATCTCAATGATAGCATCTCTTCATTTAACAAGAGTTATCCCACTTTCTCAAAATATGTGATTGGCGAACAGCTGCCTCCTCAAAGTAGGGTTGACCTTAATAATGCAAGTTGAGTAAAACTTTTGGGACCCTCATTTTCTGATAGGGCACAACTCAAAATGAGGAGAAATAGCTGTGCAGATCCATTAATAGTTGGAACATTGAATGTACAAAGTATGAATCTATGAATATTGGAAGTTGCCAAATATGAAATGGAATTCATAAAGGTTGATAGCTTAGGTATTACTGAGGTGAAATGGACTATTATTGGCCATTTTGAACCTGATAAAAATATGGTATAATATTCCAGGAATGAAAAATTGAAGAGCAATGGTATCACAGTCATCATTCAAAAGAACATTTTAAGGTCTATCTTGCAGTATAATGTTGTATGTGATAGGTTAATAACCATACACCTAACAAGAAGTTCATATCATTTATATTTATGAACCAACCACTGGAGACAGTGATGATGAAATTAAATAATTGTACCAATTTCTTCAGTCTGAAGTTTATCAAACTTGAAATCAAGGTTTATTGATAATTACTTGTGATTGGAATGCTAAGGTTGGAAACAAGGATCAGTAGTTGGAAAATATGGTGTTAGTGATAGAAAGGATACTGGAGATCATGTGATAGAATTTTGTAAGACCAATGATTTCTTCATTGCAAATACCTTTTTAAACAACATAAAAGATGACTGTACACATGGACCAAAGAAATCAAGTTAACTGGAAATGGTTGATGTTCAACTGTTTCAAAAGGTAGCATATGATCAAGAGCCAATGATATAGAAGGAAGAAGTCCAAAGTCCATTGAAAGAATTGGCAAAGAACAAGGCACTAGGAATTGATGGAATAAGATTGAAATCTTCAAGAAAGTGAGGTGGCATAGGAGGCACTCACTCATCTCTGCCAGAAAATTTGGAAGTCAACTATCTGGTTCACTGATTGGAAGAGATCCATATTTGTGCCCATTCCAAAGAGAGGTGACCCAACAGAATGTGGAAATCGTCAAACGATATCTTTGATATCCCATGTGAGTAAAGTTTTACTAAAAGTAGTATAGAAACGGCTACAAGCATACCTTGACAGAGAACTTTCAGAGGTTTAAGCTGGATTCAGAAGAGGCCGTGGAATGAGGGATATCATTTCTGATGTTCAGTGGTTCTTGGCTGAAACTGAGACTATCAGAAAGATGTTTTACCTGTGCTTTATTAACTATGCAAAGGCTTTCGATTGTGTGTATCATGACAAGCTATGGACAACATTGCGAAGTATGAGAATTCCTGAACACTTAATTGTGCTCATGAGGAATCTGTACATGACAGGAGGCAGTTGTTCAAACAGAATACGGGAACACTGAATGCTTTAAAATTAAGAAAGGTGTGCGGCAGGGTTGTATTCTTTCACCATACTTATTCAACCTGTATGCTGAGCAAATAATCCAAGAAATGGGTTATACTATGACAAATATGGCATCAGGATGGGAGGAAGACTCATTAACAACCTGCGATATGCAGATGATACAATCTTACTTGCTGAAAGTGAAGAAGACTTAAAATATTTACTGATGAAGATCAAAAAGCACCACCTTCGGTATGGATTGCATCTCAATGTAAAGAAAACAAAAATCCTCACCACTGGACCAGTAAGCAACATTCTTATCAATGGAGAAAAACTTGAAGTTGTCAAGGATTTCATTCTTCGTGGATCAACCATCAACACTCATTGGAAGCAGAGCAGTCAAGAAATCACACAACGTATTGCATTTGGCAAATCTGCTGCACAAGACCTTTTTAAATTATTGAAGAGCAGAGATGTCAGCTTGAAGACTAAGGTGCATCTGACCCAAGCCATGGTATCTTCAATAACCTTATATGCATGTGAAAACTTGACAGTGGATAAGGAAAAGTGTTGAAGAATTGATGCTTTTGACTTAAGGTGTTGGAGGAGAATATTGAAAGTGCCATGGGCTGCCAAAAGAACCAACAGATCTGTGTTGGAATAAGTGCAGCCAGAGTGCTCCTTGGAGGCCAAGATAGCCAAACTTTGTCTGCATCAGAGGGCTCAAGCATGGCTATAGTAGTGAAGCCAGCCCAGGATTGGACAGTGTTTTGTTCTGCTGTGCATAAGGTCTCTATGAGTTGGCACCGACTCAGTGGCACCTAACAACAACAATGTGAAGAGGTGGTGTAACAGTTATCCTGCTTTCTCACCACCTTTCCATTCCTTCTCAACTTTGTTCTTAAGTAAATGTTGCCCTTTTGCTTTTGAATGATTGACTATTTTATATCTTGTGATAATTTTTGACTGCTGCTTTCATTGATTGTGTATAAAAGTAAAATTACTTCCTTAACAAGTTCAATCATAACCTTTATCAGGATGCTTCTTATTGGTTCAGTTGTGAGGATTGTTGTTTTCTTTATGTTGTGGTAAAATCCATACAGAAGACTGTAGTCTCTGGTTTTCATTAGTATTTCAAGTGGTCTTTACTTTCAGCAAGTAAGACTGTGTCATCTAGTGAAGCAGTGGTTAAAGTGCTTGAAAATGAACTGAAGGAATGGAGGTTCAAACCTACCAGTCACTCTGTGGAAGAAAGTTGTGGTAGAACTTTAAGGTAGAAACTTGAGCTCCACCCAAAACTTCAGAGTTGAGACATTTGTATTGGAAAAGACAAGCATGCAGATCAACACAGGACTGTTTAAAGTACTGGAGATTTGTGATTGAAAGAGAGCAGAAAAGGAAAAAAAAAAAAAGCAGATAGTTAGGCATTTTGAGTTTCTGGGGCCTCAAGGCAAGGTAAATTGGCTCATCAAAAATCACCTGAGAGTGGATTTTCTATTGGCACCCTTTGACCTTGAGATGAAATAAGAGGAAAGGCTGACTGTATTGAATTGTAGGGAGGTGTGTGTGAACTACCAAACTTGCAGTTGGTACTTATTTGACCTAGCTTGGATAGCTAGAGTGTTTGAGCTGACTAGAACCTAATCAGATGAATATAAAGAGGTTTCATACTCTGAGCAAGCATCAGTTGTTACAATTTGATGAGATAGAATTTTGTTTATGGATGCAGTTCCTCAAAATTCCAATCAGAATGGAAGTTTCTTCAGATCAAACACCATGTATGTCTTTTCGGTGTACTGGATTGGTTGTTGTTGTTGTTAAGTGTCAATGAGACGACTCTGACCCATAGCGACCCTGTATAGGGTTTCCAAAGAGCAGATGGTGAGCTTGAACCACCCACATTGCTGTTCAAACGGCTTTGTAGTCTGACACATTAACTCACAGGGCCACACCAGGACTAGGTTGGTAGGGATGAGCAATTTAGATATTGCT